GTTCGATCCCCAGCCATCGGCGAGGGTCCCACATGGTGCAATAGACCTCTCCTGCCATGCCCACTATCCCCTCAGCAGTGTATTTCAGTCCATCTGCCTGTTCTGTTCCCCGCTCTGGCTCTGGTGAATCCTCTCACCCTCCCGTGCTTCTGACTGTACCCAGTGCTTGTATAAATTAAAAAAAAAAAAATGCCATCAACATGTAAATACTCATAATTGGTTAATAGTTATATATTGTTGACCTACAAAGTTGATAATAATGAGTGCTAATTAATATATAAGTTTTGCAGTCTTTCTTAGTAAAACAATCACTGTGTTCAGGGATTTATACTGCAGAATTTCTGTTTGTTAGCAACCCTGGGGTCTTTGGAGATAAAGTATATAAATAAAGACAAAAAACAACCTAAGCCCTTAAATGATATTATTAGTACCTAAAGAATAGTTATTTAGAATTAAGACTTAGTCTAGCCATATTTCAACTATTTTTTTCTATTGTATTTTTAGCACATTAAAAAGCACACACTATAAAAGTTGTATGATATTTGGAGAACAAGTATAACATTCAGTAATAATTTATTGACTGTATTTAGCAAATACATTTTGAATGCTCATCATGTTCCATATACTGTGTAATACTAAATTCCCAAAAAGGAAAAAAAAATCTCATTCCATGATCTCACAAAGAGGAAAAAAAAAATCAAGAATCACTTCATATAATTAGCATGATTTTAGAGAAGTAGGGAAATTTTCTAAATGCATGCAGGTATTATTTTCTTGCATAATTTGGAAAGCACAGGCATTTTTTATAAAATTAGAGTTGTTTATTATAGTAATATCAAATTATCAGGGTGACACACTTATTTATCATATTTGTTTCCTCTTTACTCTTTGGAAGGAAAGATGGTCTGACAATAATATGACTACTTAGAATCTGAGTAAAACTGTCTTATTTACACTCACACACTGATTTCAATTTTGTAGTTGTAGCTTTTTTCCATAAAGAGCTGAAAGTAGTAGAGAAATGAAGCACAAACCTCAAAGCAGGAGTCTTAGTGAGTTAGAGATCAGATACTTTAAAAACTTGTACAGAAAAATGACATAGTATCTCTATGGAGTACTGCTGCCATCATTGTTTACTAGCAAATGGTATTAAATTTTGGATATTGTGAATTTTAACTGGTTCTTTGAAAATATGCCATGACTTCAGTATTAAGAAATCCTTATACTTTTTTTTTATATATTTAGTTTATATCTTATGTATTACTCTAAGTCTTTATCAGTGCTACATGGTTTATCTCATGGAATTCAAGTTTTGTATTTTTTCCCAAAATTTTTGTAACCTTTTTAATTATCACTTTAAATGGATGCATATTTTAGGACTTTACATCCAGTTATTAATACCATGTTTTAATAAAAACAAGAATATAAATGCTCTAAATAAAACAAGAAATGGTACAATGTAAGAAACATAAGCATGTAAGTATGATTGCAAATAGTGAAAGTTACATATATACATTTAAAATACCACTACCACATTTATTAAAATGCTTTTAAATAATAATAGCATAAGTAATTTAAGGAATATTTTGTTTTGAGTCTAAAAGACTGGAAACATTAATTTAAATTCAGTTTGACATAAGAATATCTCAAAATTCAGTGTTGAATAGTGTACTTCCTTTTAACAGTTAACAGATTTATACATAAATTTGGAAAAGAATACGATATAACCTCTCAACTAGTTCTCTCTTAAGTACCAGAAAAATCATTACCTTCACAGTTCTTTCAATTTCTGTCATAATAACAGAGAGCAGAACTATATATTTTGGTAATTAATTTCCTTAAGATAATGTTAGAAACATCATGTTCTTTAAAATATAAATGAATTTCAAGGTGAGCAAGCTAGAGGATAATATTAATGGCATATGATTTATTGTGACAAGAGATCTGATCTGAAACACCATTATTAGGGGTACTTAAAAAAATCCATTTGCAAATTTCTGAAAGTATGAAAGAGTACAATGGTTGAATGTGTCTTAATGTTGAAATCTGAAAATATGTCCCTTGTAAGTATGAAATTGTTTATGTACAATATTTGGCATGTTGTCTCAGAAATTTATTAGAAATATTCATATATTGACTATGTTGCATTATAGTTTAGGGCATTACCTAAAAGCTTGCAATTCGAAGTGAAGACTAACTATAAAAGTATAGATTGAAAATGTACATGTGTATTAACTTGACAATATATTTATTTTGGGATTGATTGTTCTTTTTGAATAAGTGGTCAATAATGCATTGAAAATCTTCCATATACCTGGAATTCTCTGAATTCAAAATATAAACGTGTGACCTTGTCAATCTAGAAGGTGTTTTTTTATATTATGACTATTCTAAGTGAAATATTCCCTTTAAACTATTCATAAATAAGATTTATTCAGGCCTTACATTTACAAATAAGCTTCAGTAAGATGTACTTTCATATCTTACAAACACATTGGGGAATATAAAGGCATTGCTGTAAATGGATCTAACCACATATTGGGCAGTGAGGAATGCCATAAATTAGTACTATGATTGATAATCAAAAATTAAGTAGGTATCTGTGAATAATAGGAGTCCTTATTAAGAAGAATTAAAATTATTCCAGCGAACAGAATTTGCTGACATTTTAACTAGTTTATCTTTTGTTTAATTTTGAGACATAGCACAAAATTTAAACAGTACACAAAAAGCAGACAAAAACAATTCTGTCTCTTACAACTGACCTGTTCTCCTCAGAAGCAACTAGTGTTACTACAGAAAGCTATGTGGAGATTCCTTAACGTACTAAAGATAGAGCTTCCATATGATCCAGCAATTCCACTCGTAGGTATTTACCCAAAGGACACAGAAACATTAACTCAAAAGGACACCTGTACCCCTATGTTTATAGCAGCACTATTTACAATAGCTAAGCTTTGGAAACAACCCAAATGTCCAAAAATAGATGATTGGATCAAGAAGATGTGGTGTGTGTGTGTATACACACACATGCACACACACACAATGGAATATTACTCAGCAATCAAAAAAGATAAACTCATGCAATTTGCAGCAACATGGATGGAGCTGGAAGGGATCATGCTCAGCGAAATAAGCCAGAAAGAAAAAGAAAAATACAGATGGTCTCACTCATAGCAGGAATTTAGAAAACCTAAATAAGGGACCAGGTAAAAGACTAATTGTATTAAAGTAAAAATAAAAATCAACAAGCAATTATAAATCAGAGACACACTACTGGAGGGAGGTGGGGGAAGGAGAAGAGGGATTAGGGTCAGAATAAGGGGAGTGGGAATTGTATGGGATATATAACCAAAATGAAAATACATACATTGTGCAAAAATGAAAAATGATGTAAGAATTATATAAAATAAAATAATTAATAAAAGAAGCAACTAGTGTTAAGAGTTTTGTGAATTCTTCTAAAGATACTATGTGCACATGTAAATATTTACATATATAGATATATATACACACACATTGTCCACTTTAAAACAAAAATTATACCTGTTTGAAGTATTAAAGAAAAAGTAGACCATATAACATCCCAACTTATAATTTGTACATTTAGAAAGAACTCAAAGTGATACCTAAGTTAGGTTTTAGAAATAAGTTTTCCTAAAACATCTAAATAGATGAAAAATAATGGAAAATCAGATCTGCTATCACTAACCATGAGATAATTTACAATAGTATTTCTTGTCTAAAGTAGTAAAATGTGTGATTTAGAAAAACCTGAAGTTATTTTGAAATATATTTTTAGCAGCATTCATTTATCATCAACATTCATGGAAGAAAATAAAGTCAGGGTAACATATGTGAAAAAACTTAAATAAACAAGAATTTCCACGGGCTTACACATTAGTGATCTGTAACATTCACAGTAAGATGTCAACTTTTCCAAATATAGTGACAATGGAGTCATTTTGTCTTTGAACTGTAATATATCTCAAAAATAGCTATATAGAAATGTAGATTATGATTTTGAACATCATGAAATAAATAGAATAGAAATGAGTATAACTGAAGAAGAGTTACTTCAGCCCCATTTTCCTGGGTAGTAAAGTAGAAATATTCATATTTCCTTCTAAAATAAGGAAAGATACAAAGTCCAACCTTGCCCATTTCTCTAAGTAACAGAGACGTCAACATCTATATTTTGGATGGAAAATTGCTGTAGAGACAAAACTAATATTGGCTTTTAAAAACTTCTCCCTGAAGAAAAAAAAATCTTCAAAAATAGTTTATGTGGGGCCTCCTGGTGGCCTAGGGGTTAAATCTCAGCGCTATCAGCAACCTGGATTGAGTTCGATCCCCATCTAGGGAGCTACTCACATGGTGCAGCAGACCTCTCCTGTCTCACCCACTGCTCCCCTCAGCAGTGTATTTCACTAGATCGCCTGTTCTGCTCCCCACTCTCTCTCTGGAGGATCCTCTCACTCTCTGTACCTCTGGCCTAGACCCCAGTTTTATGCAAAAATAAAAAAAATAGTTTATGTAGCACTGATATTTCTCTGCTTTATTTTCCATTTAGTTGAGACTGATATTGACAGCACAAATATTAGAGGACTTAGATTATACCTGTATAATAAACACTTACCTCACATAATCAAATCAGGGTCCCATATTTTGTCTTGACATTAAGTATGATCACCTCTCTTATAAAGACTTGAAAAGCTTTATAGTATATCTTAATAGACTATTATTTGCACCCTCTATTTGAATTCTTTCTTTGTAGTACATGACAATGAACTAGAGATGACCCATTTGCATTTTTTTATTTATACTCTTGTTAAAACCTAAGAGGAAAAACTGAATTCATTTATATGTATTTTTTTGTCTTAAGATGACACACACACAGATAGAGCCTTACTCAGTCATTATACATAGTGTTATGTACCGTACAATGATCCTTTTAATGACAATTCATTAACAGCAAATATATTTATAATTTCACTTACCTACTATTGAATTTCTCTGGGTGTTTTTCTCTCATGATGTGGAATCTGTGTGCGATGGAAGCATCCTAAGAGCAGAAACAAAAAAGAAAAATAGGGCAGTTTATGATCCTATTATCACATGGAAATAAAGATTAAAAAGAAAAAAATAATTTGAAATTAACTTTGCCTTTAAAACAAAATTGCCAAGCTGTTCTGAAATTAGGCAAAATTATGTACTACACATAAAATCTGTGCAAACATTTATATCACCATTCTACCACTGGTTACTTTTCATATTTGCTTCCAAGAATTGTTGTCAACTTAATTTAAAATTCTCTCCATTAATATCTGGTCTGGCCTCAAGTTCCAGCTATGTTTAAAATAGCATATATGATCATCTATGTCAAAAAGTAATTGAAAATATTATACAAGATCTGAAAGAATGCACTAAGAACAGACAGAGAAGAAATGATCAGGTAGACAAGCCCGCAGTCCCTTGAGATTAATCACAGGTAAAATATATATATTTCTGAGTCCATTACACAAACAACTGTATGACATAACTTGCTTAATGACAAAAAAAAATAGTTTTGGAAAATTGGTGACAATTTAACTAACTGGCTCTGAGTCAGTTCTGTACACTAATGGATGATTTTTCTTTTAGGCAATTCTTCAGAGTTTCTCTGAGACAGTATCATACTAAATGTGTGAGATTGGTGGGATATTGTGATTCAAACTTTTCAAGCAGAGACTATTTCTTGCTGACTTTAAACAGTTGCTCCTTTTATTCCAAGCAAGGAGATATTCTCTCATTCTTCATTTACACATGACTAATCATTCCAATGAGAAACTAATATATTTACCAGTTATGTAAGAAGAAATGGGACAATTGTTGTGATTAACTGTTAATTTTGTTTCATAGTAGAGATAAAAGCAAAGAAAAATCAAACACAAAGGACATAAAGAAGTTGTGTATTTGAGAGAATCTCGAAAACACTAATCAAGGATTAAAAGTGTAATGAATGAAATGAAAAGGCTAATGTGCTTACTCACGCATAACAAAGCATGAGCACAACAAGAGAGGGACCAATGCCCACTGCAGATGGCAGACAGCTTCTCCTCCCCAACACCCCCAATACAGAGCTGTGAGGGAACTGCATTAGTTTTTCTGTTCACACATTTTATCTTCTAAACATAAAAAATAAATAATAAACAAGCAAAATGAGGGAAAAAAAGAGAGATTGGCATTATAGAAACTATGCATTAAAAAGTTATCTAAAAACCCTCTATGGTTTGAAATTTTAAGACACAACTTTCGTACATAATAATTTCCTGGCTTGCTAAGAAGCTGGGCTATCAGGACGATTCACTTTTATTGGTTCAATAGCTTTCAAACCCAGTTACAGAGTTTTTTCTTTTTTAGCAACTTCTCACTAATAAGTCATAAATACATTACATTTTAGAATGTGAAATTTTCTTATTATGCTATGAAATTATAGGAAAAAATCTGAGCTGGGCTATTTGTGGTATGTTGCATGGCATGGACATTAATTAATTTTAAGTATCGTTTATTTTCACTTTATCCTTAATCTGCTTCAAAATCAATTTGGAATACCTTATAATTAAACACATACATCCAGCAAACCAGTTAAACAGAGGCAAAGGACTATGAATCAAGTATTAAAGATTAATGATCAATATTGGTTATCCACATAGGGAGACTATCATTGAATTTACTTCTGCTTGAATTATTTGTTTCTGCTAACTTAGAGAACTGAAACTTTTAAAAATAGATTGTGTGGTACAATTTGCTTTATAAGCATACATTTTTATAATAACAAATCTCTTCCTTTCCCAAGAAACATGAACAGCAGAGAGGGAAAGAGGAAACTAAAGGAGAAAATAGGAGAAGAGATCAAAATAAGACTATTTAGACGGGACCGCTACTGACTAAACTTCTAGAAACACTGAACACCAAACAGTCAAAAAAGATAAACTTAATATTAGTTCTGTCTCCAAGACACTTGGGCAATGGATCATGTAGCTCTGAGAGAGAAAAGAAAGGCTAGTGAGGAACACTGGCATGACTCTTTCCTTGTGTTGAATGGGTTCCACCACAAAGAAAGAGCTGGCATTGCTGACTACAGGATTGATAAAGGACAATGACAGCAGGTGTTCATTTGGATGAGAATTAAGATGAAATTCCCATGGGATTCTATCCCTTTGGCAAACTCCCAAGAGGTTTCAAAGAGAACTGGCAAATGCTGCAAGCTTATCCAGTAGCCATATTTCAGGAACATTTAGGATTCTCTAAAATGAGATAAAATAAGAAAAAGCTATAATAATGTTGGTTTCTTATTTGAATTTTGCCCTCTCTGTCTCTCTATACAGGAGTTTTTAGGAAGATAGAAATTAAACTAGAAGCAATTCCATACCCTAGAATGGATAAACTTTTCTTCTGACAGACTTTTAATTTTCAAGATTTATGAATTTGAACATATTATTTATTTTCTCTGAGTTACAGCTTCCTTATCATCAAAATAGTAATAACCCTTTTTAGCATTGTAGATTTGATTGTTTTTAAGATTAATCCTAGAACGACTGAGAGTATTTTGTACAGCTGTGATTTTCATGTGTTTTCTACACATACCAAATTTTCTTGAAAAAAAAAAAGGTGTTAAAACATGGTTAAATGTGTAACTTTGGAATATGTATTTAATGACTCTCAGATAGGTTATTATTTTTCCCTAAATGTACACAATAATATTAGTTTAATTTAAATAATAACACCATCTAAAATTAAAATATATTCATCTTCATTAAAGCAAAAAGTTAAATTTTATTGTTTTATATTTCCCTTTAAATAGCAAAAAAAGTAATTTTTTAGAATAGATAGGTATTATCAATGGTATATATTACAAATTAAATACCTTATTAATTTCAGTATAGAATATAAACTTAGTCAATTACAAATGAGTTTCATTAAGTTATTTCAAAATATAATTCCAGCTATAAAATTTAAAATTGAATCTTACATACTACATGAGTTTTCAATGCTTAAATTATTCCATTTTGCTCTTTGTTTCTGGATATATATGTCACAAGATCTCTCTGTATAGAAACTTCTTTTAAGTAACTGCAACTTACTAAAAAGCTTCAAAAGATTTTGTTGTTCCATTACTGAATATTTTATTAAGATCTTTTTATTTTATTTATTTATATTATTTATTAAATAAATATTTTATTTAAGATCTGGCAGATCTTTTTCAGGTATTATTTACATACAATAAAACTAACCAACTTGAAAAGTACAACTCAGTGAGGTTTGACATAGGTACAAGATAACTACCTTAACATACACAATATAGAAATTAACATTAATAAACATATAGAAATTAACATTAATAACCATAGACTATGCTCTCTTCTCCACTCTTAAAAGTCATTGATCTGTATTCTGTCACTGTAATTTGCTTTTCTAAAATTTCCTAACATGTATCTAAAATTTCTTTACATGTTATTAAAAGCAATCTTTTACATGTATCTTCCTTTACTTTTTTAATGCTTTGAGACTCAGCCATTAGTCTTATCAGCTGTTGTCATTTTTCACTGCTAAGTAATATTCTATTGAATAGATATATCACTTGGGTTTATTTGCAAATTGCTGGTATTTAACTTTTATGAATAAAATTGCTATAAACTTTCAAAAAGAATTCTTTTTGTAGACATATATGATTCTATCTTTTGGGTAAGTACCTGGGAAAGAGATTGCTGAGTTGTATGGAAATGCATATTTATAAGAAACCATCCAATTATTTTTCAAAGTAGATGTACCATTTTGCATTCCTAACAGTAATGTATTATAGTACCAATTACTTAACATCTTAACTAGTGCTCTACATCCACACCAACTCTTAGAAGTCTTTTTAATTTTACCATTCTAATGCAAATGTAATGATACCTTTGCTTGGAAAGTCTTAACCCTATGAGCCAGCACCATCTGCTTCACCAGACCAATTTGAAATTCTGATGAAACTATAAAATTTGAAAGTCCATTCTGTCTTACTAAATGTTCCTAGTTTTATCACAATTAATTTTCTTAGTTTATTTTCTCAGTTATGCTACTCAACAATTCCAAAGTAACAACCAGCACTCTCTAGAAATACATTTATGCTTTCCCCTACACTAATCCATGTGCCTTAAAGGTTTCACAGGATTCTCTTTTCTATCAATTTTCTCCACAAGATATTCAAAGAAGACATGCTTAGTGTCTCACTAAGCTCTCAGCCTGCTTATATTCTTTAAACTGTAATTTGAATGAAGGTAATTTAAAAATCAATGTATATAAAGAACACAAAATGAAAAGTGAATGTTTCTAATTTACCCATGCCTAACTCCTAGAGAAGAATCACAATCCCTTTTTCATGCACTACATAAAAAGGTATAAATGTGTATAGATATGTGTATTTGTGTGTAGGAATGCAATATGGCACACACACATATATTTACACATATATCTACTGCTTCTATGTATGAATATATTTATGCATATAATTACAAAAATAGGTTCATATTATATAAACTGCTAAACTTTTTTCCCTTATCAATATAGCTCAGACATCTCATTATTAATATATGAAAGGTTAGTTCTAAAGATTTTTAATCACTATTTTCATTGAGGGAATGTTGGTATACAACACTGTATATGATCTAGAAGTATATGGTCATACCTCTTACCACACCTAAATAAATTTAGTAATTCTCACAAAGTGTCTATCACTCTGTGAGTAGATATCATCATATTGTTAATTTCTGGATTTAATAGCTAAAAGGGTATCTCACAATTGTTTAATTTGTCTGATTGTTGATTGAAATTGACTATGTTGTCATATGTTTTATACATAATTTCCTCTTTTGTGAACTACCTATTGAAGTCCTTTGTTATCAGAAATTATTCAAAACCTATTTATTTATATAATTACAACAATGATTATAATTAATATTAAATGTTTATCACTGTTAAGATTAAGGCACCATTTTAAGAACTTTACACGTAGCATATATCTAACCTTTACAAGAATTTTAT